TTTGACACCTGTGTGTACAGTAACAAACATTTAATTCTTGAACGTTTCGGAATGTATATATTCCATCTTCAGTAAGCTATATTGAACATGGTAAAATATTAGGCACAAAAATTGATATATTTATAAAGTTCCAACATTTTGTAAAGATTAATTAAAAACATAGTCAAATAATGAAGACAAATAAAAAAAGAATAGGATAATGCAACAACTGTAATAATATTATAGAAGTTATTTAAAACAGACTTAGTTGTAACGAAGTTGTGTTATTATTTAAAGTTGGGAGTTCATTTATACTAGATAAATTTGCTTTAATTAAAAGTTCACTGTTGGATGATCCAGATGAGATGACTTTGAAACTGTTAATTAAGATGTAATGGTTGCTGTTTTCACTATGTGCGACAATGTTGAGTCTGGAGGGTTTGATAGTTGTTTGCCAGTTCTCTTTGATACTCCCATATGTTCGCAGGTGTAATTGGCGTGTTGTTTTGCCAATGTGAATGACATTATAGCCACCACATGTGTATTTATATACGATCCTGGAACACACAAGGGTAGGTAATAGGTCTTTACATCTTAATATAATTAGTATTTTGAAATATCATTTGTAGTTGAACTTGTGGATAAAACGTTTTAATTATTCTTAAAATTTGTGACTTCAGTATGAAACTGTTTACCTAAAGAAGGAATAATTAGTTTTAATGGGTATTGGTCAACAGTGTATGGTTTCTTTGGGGGTTCAATTTTGTGAGAAAGGAACTTGCCTTGCGTGTTAGGGTTTGAATAAGGTTCAAAATCTTTTCAGGTGTAAGGAAATATTACCTAGATCTTTATATAAATCCACATGTGGTGGCTGTAATATAGAATAATACGTAGACTTGTTTGTTTTATTTCGCGCAAAGCTACACGAGGGCTATATGTGCTGGCCGTCCCTAATTTAGCAGGGTAAGACTAGAAAGAATGCACCTAGTCATTACCCTCCACTGCCAACTCTTGAGCTGTTCTTTTACCAACGAATAGTGGTGTTGAACGTTCCATTATAACGCCCCCTCGGCTGAAAGAGTGAGCATGTTCGGGAATGGGATTCGAAACCGCGACCCACAGATTGTGAGTCGAGCACCCTAACCACTTAATCTAAGGGTCTAACGAAAATAAAATGTTTAATACGTTATATTAAAGAGATTTGAATGTGCAAATCACTGAGTTACGTATGAATCCACGGAGACAAAGATGTATGGTAAAGCCGTCCACGTGCCCCAGGCAACATTACACGGCGCAATCAAGCACGTGTACACAAGGTATTTCCATAAGATATTAATTCAATATACTGGTCAAGTTGCTGGAAAATGGAATGAATTTGTACGATATGAAGATGTAATGGTCAAGCTGATGAACGCAGCGTCCATATATTTCTGTGTGATCGAACTTTAGAAACGGACACTTGGAAATTGTTTTCTTTCTACACGAGATGAAATATGGAAAACATGTAGAGAGAAGAGGTTGTGCTTTCACAACGGCAGCCTTATAACAAAGCCTTTTGCGATGCAAAATACGCTGCAGGGTTATTATCAAGATGCACGGTCGTTAGTTAGAGCATGACCAGATGTGGTTATGTGGACTGTAACTACGTGATATAAAATAATTTTAATATAATAAATCTGTATGTGACATGAACATATCATATTTCTAGGAGAGTTACTGTACCATTTGATGTCTAGGAAGATTAATCCGTGAAATGAAGATATCGTATACTTAACTCCTATGAAAAGTAGGTTTTAGGTTTGGGTTTCTGTTCTTTAATTATCAAATTTAAGTTCAACTTTTTGACAGCGAGAAATAAAACAATTAAAGGGCCATCCTTCAGTTGATGGTATATCTTAAGGTTAGGAAGTTACATGGTGACTGTTTCACGACAAACTCATCTTACAGAGCATTAATAAAGCACTCGATGCGTGAACCCAGCACTTTGAAAAATTAGACCACGATGCAATTATATCTATATCTACTATATTCGCAACACGTCTGTACAGTTAATTTTGATGACTGGTTATTAAACATTTAGATAGCCAAACCTACTAATCTCATCTCCATACAGCTTAAATACGTTGTAGCACGTCGAAACAGATCTTCTTCCTGTGTCTAGAATACTAAGCCTAAAGTTGTTTATTTTGTTGGTTTGTAAGCACATCTTTAACTAATAGCTGAAATATGTTTACAAGAGTGTCCGAAAATGTTTTTTTTGTACGAACCCGTACATACCTTTCCTGGTATCGTTAGAAGTTCCAGCCCAAAACTCACTGTGGAGAAGTAATCAACATACCCAACGATATGTAAAGAGTGAAACAAAAAGTTTCTCAAATGTTCGCATTCCTTTCTTTTTTTTTTCATTTTCATGGCTAGTGGTTAGCGTGCTGGACTGTGGATCAAAAAGTCCATGGCACGCGTCCCGTTACGGCAAAACAATTACGCTTTGCACTTTGGTGTGACGTCACATTATTCGATTAGAGAAGTCAAATATTTGGTGAAGAGTCCTGTTGATTAGCTGACTTTTTTCTGGTTAATCAGTTTAAAATTAGGGCACACAACCCGGAAATTTTCAAAACAAACTTTTTTTCATATTCGTGATGCATTGCGAAACGTTTTGGTAAAATGTATACTTTCTCTGCAAGATCGTGACACGTTTATAATACAGCCCTAACATACTACCTGTGTTGTTGTTGTTATTATTGTGTTTGTATATCAAAGTATGATACATGTTTACAGTACAGCCCTAAGATACTACCTGAGTTGTTGTTATTATTCGGTTTGTATACCAAAATATGATACATGTTTACAGTACAACCCTAACACACTACCAGTGTTGTTATTATTATTATTGTGTTTGTATACCAAAATATGATACATGTTTACAGTACAGCCCTAACATACTTCCCGTGTTGTTGTTTTTACTTTTCTGTGTGTATACCAAAACATGACACATATTTATAGCACAGCTCTAAAATACTACCAGTGTTAATGTTGTTATTATTGTGTTTGTATACCAAAATACGATACATGTTTACAATACAACCCTAACAGACTACTTGTGTTGTTATTATTGTTGTGTTTGTATACCAAAACATGACAGATGTTTACAATACAACCCTAACATAATACCTGTGCTGTTATAATTGTTGTGTTTGTACATCAAAACATGACACATATTTACGGTATAGTCATAACATACTGTTGGGTTGTTATTGTTGTGTTTGTATACTAAAAACATGATACATGTTTACAGTACAACCCTAACATATTACCTGTGTTGTTGTTGTTATTATTGTGTTTGTATACCAAAACATGATACATGTTTACAGTACAACCCTAACATACTACCCGTGTTGTTGTTGTGTTTGCATACCAAAACATGACACATGTTTACATTACAGCCCTAACATACTACCTGTGTTGTTATTTTTGTGTGTGTTTACCAGAACATGACACATATTTAAAGTACAACCTTAACATACTACCAGTGTTGTGTTATTTGTATGTGTGTTTACCAAAACATGACACATATTTAAAGTACAACTCTAACATACTACCAGTGTTGTGTTATTTGTGTGTGTGTAGCAAAACATGGCATAGTAGAACCCTAACATACTATCTGTGTTGTTGTTTATCTGTTCTACAGCACCTCTTTATTAAGGCATTAAGAAATCTATACACGTAATTGAAGTTATTCAGTGATTTTTCAATAAATTTTTAGTATATCCCCCAACATATCTCTTTGTGTAAAACCTCCGTGATAATTCATAAAATACTCTGTTTTTTTGTTGATGAAATGCTTTAATAAATGAATTATGGTAAGCAGAGTACAGTTTCTCTCATGTAAACTCTGAAGCAAGTTTTCATGCCAAATCGATATCGTTTTAAAATAGAAAAGCACAAAGTGATAATAAGATAAACAGTTCTACAGTTTTCGCATCAAATACGTCTTTACTCAGAAACCTTTAAACAATATTAGATTTAGTTGCAGTAAGACTGTTTGGATCGTTGTCGTGGCGAATAGCCTGTACAATAATGTATATCCAATTACTAATTTGTTGCTATTTGTTTAATAACTAACTAGATTGTATAGGCAAATAATCATGACAAAAATATCAGATGTGTTACATCTTCAAACAAATATTTGTAATTTTCTAATAACATTTATTGTTTTGGTTTTAATGTGAGGCAAACAAATACTTGGAACAAAAGTGATTTTATTGAAGAGTATCTGAATTTACAGCTAAACACTTACTAAAGTATTAAATGAAAAAAATACGTCAGCTCAGATGAATTAGGTCTTGGTTGGCTGCGGTGATGTGACGTACAAAGAACTGGCGAGTCTCATTGGATAGTTCTCCTGAGGACTGTAAGTAAACGGTCCACTAGGGAATGAAATTATTGCAACTGGCAAAATAGCAACAAATTGAGACTTAATTTTAAGAACAATATAATAACGTATTAACACACGCATTCAAATTTTATAATTAGTATATTGAAATAATATATCGTTTATTTATGAGGAATTCTAGAACAAAAAAATACACCCAGAGAATACCCACCTTTGTCATATGTAATAACTAAGATGTTTACTTTTTTTCCGATTAAAGAACTAGACGTTTCTAAAGATGTAAACATCTTAGTTATTACATATGACAAAGGTGGGTATTCTCTGGGTGTGTTTTTTTCCGATTAAAGAACTAGACGTTTCTAAAGATCTACACCCAGAGAATACCCACCTTTGTCATGTGTAATAACTAAGATGTTTACATCTTTAGAAACGTCTAGTTCTTTAATCGGTAAACTAAGTTTTAAAGAGAAGAAAAAACAATACATATATGAAATGGAAAACAAACTACGTTCGATAAAGTCTCTCACTGGCTTACAACTAATTTAGTCAACTGTAAACAATATTAGCTGGAGATACTGTCTCGGGAGTGATGCTACTAACATTATATAAACATTAGTGTACAGTAGTAAAATTATACATTAAGTTCAATTAAACCTAAATCAGTGAGAAATATGGGAATGATAAGAACAAAATCAGAATCAACATATGTTTTACGTTGATTCAATAGTGTGTACCATTAGAAAAATTATAATGAATTTTACTATTTTTTTAACTTTTTTAAAGTTACTCACGATTTATTAATGACCATAGCCATAATGAGGATAAACGGGATAAGCCCAGGGACAATAAACACCATGATAACCATGTCTATAGCCACCCAAACGTCCGCCATAACCTCCTCCATAGCCACCTCCATAACCTCCTCCGTATCCACCTCCATAACCACCTATTCCCCCATAATAACCGCCCCCGTAGCCTCCTCCTCCTCCGCCATAGCCTCCGCCGAGATATCCTCCACCTCCACCATAAAGGTAACCAGCAAAGCTTGTGGCGACGAGAGCGACGAAAACACAGAGTCCAAACTGAAATAAGAAAGAATAAGATTATCTTTGAAACATTGTAGAAATTATTCATTTAGCTATATCCTCGATTAAGAAATGTGTCACAAACACTGCATATCTCAATTAAATAGAGAAATTGGCAATCATTTTATGCAGAGTAATATGTTTGGTAGCATATCGCGAGCTCGAATCTCTGTCCTTTCGATACGCAGCCTAACACGCTAACCACTATGAAATGCCAAACACTTAGAAGATCATTTGTTAATTTCAATAATCCTCACAAAGAAAATCACGTGTATTTATAAAGCATTAATATTTCAGAGTTATAGAATAGTTAAAACAGCCCAATCTGATATTCTAAAAATGCTTTAAATATTGTGTTCTCTTACGAAGACCCTAAAGTTTGATAATATTTAACTAAAACAAACAGCAACTTGCTAATATATAAATTAAACACTACGTTTATTCAGTGAAAGCATACTTACAATGAGTTTCATGTTATCAGAGACGTTAAGGAATATTCAAAGCTTTTACGCCAAGTTATTACCACATTAACTGCCTGTTGACTCACGGAAACAAAGCAGTTTTCTCCTTTTATACACCTTGTCATCCAAACCGGAAGAAGTTCAAGAATTCGCCTTTTTAAAAACAAACAAACAAAAAGGATTGTGTACTAGTTTATCAGGACTATTTAAAGCCTCTGCTTTTATTAGTATGAATCTTTTTTATCTATCATATCTATGTCGACTTGCTTTCCTAAAGGTCTTATCACACAACGCCCCCGTGGTCGGTTTATTTTCGATTCCGGAAATACTAAAATGTCCGAGCACTCAAAGACAACACTGCACGTATTGTATGAATATTGAAACTGGTTCTATTTAGAACAAAACATAACCACACCTTGAACAGATGATCAGAAAGTAGAAGCGTAATCTTTCTGGATGACTTGTTAATTCGTTTGTTGATAAGCACAGAGCTACACGATCTGTACTGTACCCAATATTAGTATCGAAACGCAATTTTCAGCGTGATAAGCCCTAAGATTTACCGCTGAGCCACTGGTCTATTTTATGTACTAATTAAGTGTCGACCATGTGTGTAATGGTGACATGATCATATCGTCACGAAAATAATTCAAAACTTTAAATGAATATAAAATATAAAGAAACTCAGTTCTAGGCATCGTATATAATGTCCGTAACTAATATCACCTAGAAAGATTTTTATCAGTTCTAGGCATCGTATATAATGTCCGTAACTAATATCACCTAGACAGATTTTTATCAATTCTAGGCATCGTATATAATGTCCGTAACTAATATCACCTAGACAGATTTTATCAGTTCTAGGCATCGTATATAATGTCCGTAACTAATATCACCTAGACAGATCTTTATCAGTTCTAGGCATCGTATATAATGTCCGTATCACCTAGACAGATTCTTATCAGTTCTAGGCATCGTATATAATGTCCGTATCACCTAGACAGATTCTCATCAATTCTAAGCATCGTATATAATGTCCGTGTCACCTAGACAGATTCTTATCAGTTCTAGGCATTGTAAATAATGTCCGTATCACCTAGACAGATTCTTATCAGTTCTAGGCATCATAAGTAATGACCGTATCACCTAAACAGATTCTTATCAGTTCTAGGCATCATGTATAATGTCCGTAACTAATATCACCTAGACAGACTCTTATCAGTTCCAGCTTTGATTTCAGATGAAAACTTTACTTTGGCTGATATTTAAAGAGGGCTCTGAAAGATTGTGCTTTTAACTCTAGAAAATTGCATATGCATATCAGCTACACAATTTTACTTTTTAATCATACACCTATGTTCATTAAGCGATGTGCTTTTATGTTGCTTAATTATAGTAACCATCTGCACCATTATCTTTGGTGGTTTTAAATTAGAACTCTAGTTAATGATTACGCTCACCAATTACACAATTATACTAATTAGTTATATAAAGTGTTAATAATCTACATACTTATATATTTATTACTTAAACGATTATCCTCATTTATTATAAAATTATCGTCATTATTTTCATTACTATGCTTATTAGTGACACAAAGTTATTACATTTGGTTTTATTGGGTGTCTCGCCCTAGTGATTCGTATAAGATAGGTCAATCAGGATTTTTGGTATGATTGTCCCATAAGCAGAAGCTTCTACCCTTATACCAAAATCAGTTATTTCCGAATTTGTAACACGATATACGATATATGTAACCATAAACCTTATATACACTTGTTATAATATGTATGTAACCGTAAACCTTATATACACATGTTATAATATGTAACCGTACACCTTATATACACGTGCTATAATATATATGTAATTACAAACCTTATATACACTTGTTATAATATGTATCTAACCGTAAACCTTATATACACGTGTTATAATATGTAACCGTAAACCTTATATACACGTGATGTAAGATGTATGTAACCGTAAACCTTATATACACGTGCTATAATATGTAACCGTAGACCTTATATACACGTGCTGTAAGATGTATGTAACCGTAAACCTTATATACACGTGCTATAATATGTAACCGTAAAACTTATATACACTTGTTATAATATGTATGTAACCGTACACCTTATATACACGTGTTATAATATGTAACCGTAAACCTTATATACACGTGCTGTAAGATGTATGTAACCGTAAACCTTATATACACGTGCTGTAAGATGTATGTAACCGTAAACCTTATATACACGTGCTATAAGATGTATGAAACCGTAAACCTTATATACACGTGCTATAATATGTAACCGTAAACCTTATATACACCTGTTATAACATGTGTGTAAACGTAAACCTTATATCACGTGTTATAAGATGAATGTAACCGTAAACCTTAAATGCAGTGTTATCATTCAGTGACGTCATTTTTCAACAAGGTTTTTTTTTTTTACTTGCTCTATCTACATACTTCTATAACTTGTACGCGCATTACACAACGAACATTTATAACACAGAATCTAACATCATATATTAACAAAGGGTATGTAACGTCATAACTTATCGAACCCATTATTTAACATTGGTGTGTGTGTGTGTGTTCGCTTATCACTGGCGGATCGTTAGACCGAGTGCCACCACACGTGGTATGTACTCTTAGGGCTATTCCCGGGAAAGTGAAGCTGGCATTCAGATATGACCCCTTGCATCACCCACCAGGGGTCACCTGTCTGTTCCTGCAGGTGCATGAGTTATTAACAAGTGTAAAGCAACGGTTTGTCAGTCATCTACTCTTGCTGTTACTGATATTTTCGGACATAATTCCAATAATATTTTAATAGGGTCAGTCATCTTTGGTTAGTCCTAAATCAGTATAGTAGACTAACTTGTCAAAAAAAAAGAATTGAAGTAATGATACTGCTGTGCGTATTTAACGGATACTGTTAATGGGTGATGATATTAATATCATTATTTTATACGCTTTTGGATGTATTTACGTCATTTCTCTAGGTTTCCATACAGGTTCTGCGTGTAATTATTGTCATTCCCGGTTTTGAGTTAATAGACTAGCCAACAATACCCATTGTCATCTCTTAAGTCAGTCTATTTTGCTTAAAAACAAACGTAATGCAATCTTCCTTATTGAACTAATACATGAGATGACAAAAGATGGTTGTAAACGGCCCATTAGACAATCATATTGCATCTACATTCCGATCCAAGAGATAGGGTTGAGTGGACATTTTATATTAATTCATCACTATTTTTAGGAAAATTGATCTTGACTTGTTTCATCAGGCATTTTGTAGTCTGAGGTAAAACATTGTTGATTGTTTTTCGTTAATAGCATTGAAATTATGTAGTTTTTTAGAACTTGTAGTGCATGTTGGAAGGAATTGTGGGTCTTGGCTGTCACTCTTGTAATGCAACATAGCCCCTAAATTCGAAGCACATTTTTCGTTGACGAGCTACGAATAATGAACCCTCGGATTCCGAGTTTAGGCACTCTAATTACGTCATGCTCTGAACAAACTAATTTTAATTTTCAGTTACTAAGTAGCTGTAAAGTGACGAGACACGCTTATTTTCACCTGACTTGTTAGCTGTTACTCGTTAGTTAAAGTTCCGATTGTTTGGAATATAATAACAAACAACAACAACCATTCTATTCAAAGTAATACTCTTTTCATTAAGAATTTCTTTTTGATTTGTTTGATGTGAAGCGCAAAGGTATAAGATATCTGTGCTGTGCCCACCAAGCGTATCGAAATCCATTTTTCCCCTCCTTTATAAGCCGTTGTTGTTGTCTGTTATTAAGCACAAAGTTACACAAAGGGCTATTTGTTCTCTAAACACGGGTATCGCAACCCAGTTTCTAGCAGTATAAGTCCGCGAGCATCCCGCTTTGCCACTGGGGTCCTTTATAAGCCTTACTGGTTAATATTCGAATTACCTGGTAAAGGCTTTATTCTGACCCTAATATAGTGGTTAATTTTCGAATTATCTGGTAAAGGCTTTATTTTTACCCTAATTTACTGGTTAATATTCGAATTACCTGGTAAAGGCTTTATTCTGACCCTAATTTACTGGTTAATATTCGAATTACCTAGTAAAGGCTTTATTCTGACCCTAATTTACTGGTTAATATTCGAATCACCTGGTAAAGGCTTTATTCTGACCCTAATTTACTGGTTAATATTCAAATCACCTGGTAAAGGCTTTATTCTGACCCTAATTTACTGGTTAATATTCAAATCACCTGGTAAAGGCTTTATTCTGACCCTAATTTACTGGTTAATATTCAAATCACCTGGTAAAGGCTTTATTCTGACCCTAATATAGTGGTTAATACTCGAATCACCTGGTAAAGACTTTATTCTGACCCTAATTTACTGGTTAATATTCGAATCACCTGGTAAAGGCTTTATTCTGACCCTAATTTACTGGTTAATATTAGAATCACCTGGTAAAGGCTTTATTTTGATACTAAATAGTTGGTTATTTTCCGAATCATCAAAATAAGGTTTTATAAATGGTATTAAACTTTGATACCTTCGAATCACCAGATGAAGACTTATTGTAACATTAAACGTTATGACTATCTTTCGACTCACTCTGTAATATAATAATCAAACAGCTGGTTTACTGTATAATATCGAATAATAATTTTTGTGAAAAGCCATAATATAGCTTACATAACTAAAGTAGCTTATGTTCCTAAATGGTGACTTGGAAAGGACTTAAAACACCATAAATGTTATGTAGTTTTAACAGATACAGAACAACGAAATCTAACTACAATAGAATTAGTACGATGCTGGGACTTTGGTACTCCAATAACAGTTATTTTGGACGGAAATATTTACAGAATGAAAAATAATGTGAACATTCTGTATACATAAAGCTTTAACCAGGATAATGTCATGTTTATTGTGTGTATACATAAGAGAAAAAAAAATATATATAAAGGCTTCACAACGCTACAATCTGGGGTTTGATTTCTCGCAATGGACACAGCAGATAGTCCAGTGTGGCTTTGATCTACAACAAACAATAAAAATAACAAACTTCTTTCACACTTTAAACTATATATTGACCTCCTTAGGTGGTTGAAAGCTGACATTGGTTCAAAGTTCATTTCTCAGCCGGTCATGTTATAGGTTTTGTAGCCTGTATTGAAGGTCACCTGTTTCATCCTATCAAAATCTAAAGAAGGCCTTTCAATGGAACGATTGTAAGGGTAAAGATGTTTGGGTGATATATGTAAAACCGAGTGTTAGGATGTTTGTGGTGATATATGTAAAACTACATCGAAAGTATTAAACAATAATGACATCCAACAATATGCTGTCCACATGTTGAAACCTCTGATTGTTGTCCTTAAATAAAACTTTGATGCGTCACAAAAGTATTAGACGTTGAATTGTTGCACAGGAATGTAATGTTTACAGCTTTTTGTGTATGGAAGCACATTATACAAATATAATAGTACATTTTCAAACAGTGGTTTATAAGTATAATGAAATGGTTTTATTTGGAGGGGACAAATCAATGTTCTGTTGAAACACGTAATACTTTCCCCCAAAATACAACTTTTTCATTATGTTTGTTAATTGTTGTCTGTCAGTTTACTATTAATGTTTACAATTGTTAAACCTCAAACTTCATACTATTTCATACTTTGTATATCAACTGTAATGTAAAGGTGCACTGCGTTAGATAAGATTTGGAATTATGGCCGAAAACTTCTTTAACAGCGACGGTACTCAGATTAATGGAATATATTCACTGTAATAATCTATGGAAGGTTTACACTGAAAGTCATATCATATATAATTATATTAAATTTGAATTTTAGTGATTAATCTCTCAAACTAAACCATGTTAATCTTTGAAATGTATACACAAATCTGGATTTAAGTTTTGTTTGTTTACTGTTAAGCGCAAAGCTACACTACAGGCTATCTGTGCTGTGCTCACTACGGGTATCGAAACCCAGTTTCTAGCGGCATGTGCCTTCAGACTTATCTTTGAGCCATTGGGGGCTCTGGATTTAAGCGAATTTTGTTTCAATATAAATTGAACTGTTGTGCTTGTTACGTTTTATTCATAACACTCCTCATTAAATACAGTGATTCGATATTATCGTGTATTAATAACTTTGTGTTTAAACGACACCAATTAGATATAGAAAATACATAGATAAAACCTGATTATTAGTTTTATAAGAAGCTGAGATACCAAGTTGATATCCTGATTACTGCTGGATTGAAATAAAGGTGTCAGTAAAGGAGTTAAATGAACGAACTCCCAGTTTTTTATTTATAAAAGAAGAAACATTTGGCTTATTGGTCATCCCCTACGTA